TTTTACATTATATTATAATTATAAGGTTACGTTTGTCTACAAAACCAGATTATGGCAGCAGGCAAGGACAACTCGAAAGCGTATTCTATTTCTATGGTTTTCTGGGGATGCTAAAATTACAATATGGGGAGCCCTCCTTGCACTCTGGACTGTCAAGTCCATCCGCTAGGTTCCAGGGCCGTTGAATTTCTGAATATGTTGATCCAGTCCTCCGTTTTAACTTTTAAGTGGTCTAGCTGGTTCTACATATGGGCCTCAGGCCCTAAACATCAATTTTTTTGGTCCGACCTACAGTCCACTTAGACCTAGTTGGTTTGGTCGGGCTATTCTTGATGCATTTTCAAAAATAAAAAATAAAAAACTGTTTGGTAGCTTTAATTTCTTTGCTCCTCTGTTTTAATTTCTTTCTCTAATGCTAGTTTTAAAATAAATTTATCATATATTTATAAAAAAAAAAAAAAAATAACTATCATTTGACTGCACTTTGACCTTTTTTTTAATGAAGTGTAAAAATTCATTTATCCAATTAAACTATTATTATACAAATCAGCGGCCAGAGTGACTGCTACATAAAAACAAAACTATTACGGCCTAGATACTTAAAAGATAAAACTGCATTTCACAAATCTCTCACACCCCCAATTCAGTGCACTGTTCTGAGTTAGAGGAGAAGAATACTGCGTGGCAAAGCCCAGAATCCTGTCTCGCACATCCCTCTGAACTTCAATGATGTATTTTGACCAATTATTTCACATTGATCATCAAGAATCTTAATTCGCTTTACACAATAAGGGATAAATGAGTGTTGTTGGACTTTTATGCTGAGAGCATTGCAGGAGAAACGAGAAAAGGTAGCTTTCGCTAAGTTATACATTTAGTATGATTGCTAGAACTTCTATGGCATTGCGTTGCATTTGAACATGGATTTTGAAAGTAAGCTCTCCTTAATTCTATTAGTCATTATTCGCTGCATTGATGCAGATTCGATGATTTTTAGTATGTTGCCTGTTTTTTATTTCCCATAATCAGTAAAAGTGAGAATCATGAATTATTACTGATGACAAATTGATAATTAAGATTACTTTACTGTTGTTGGGATTATGTTTTATAAAACTCTAATTATGCCCACTACCCTTAAAAATACAAATTAATTTTTTTTTATTTTTATAAAAAATTATTTTTAATATAATATACATTCATTTCCTCAATAAAACATCATTAATAATTATAAGTTACAATAATATCAAACATTAGAAGTTATAACCGGATGAAAAATCAACAGCATTGTTGCCTTTTGAAACCGTGTATGAACACATCCAACTTACCTTATGAAAACATCTCAAAATTGCCGCGCACAAATTGGTATGCAATGACGCAGAAGAAGCACCAGCACAATGATCATGGACGACGACCAAGACTGATGGTGCCTTTGGATAGAAAAAATCTACAAGAGGAGCCCACGGCTATCGTTGAAGGTGTCTTCAGGGCTAATTACCACACAGATTGGTGTACAATGAAATGACCTAGAAGAAGCATGGGGCGCGCCTTTTGATGGAGAAATTCTACAAGAGGAGCCCACTGCTTTTGTTAAAGATGTCTAAAGCGTGGACGACAAGCAAGATTTATGGAACCCTTCGATAGAAAAATTCTACAAGAGGAGCGCACGGCAATTGTTAAAGGTGTCAGTGCCGTCCATAAAAAATAAAGTGGCAGTGCTAACTAACGCATAAAATAAAAAAGTTAGTGTAGGATACAGGTAAAAATCTGTTTTTAATATTTTATTTTATTAAATTTA